ATTTTAGAGTTTTAGGGCTCGAATTCGTCTCTTATGATAACTTTACTTGCAGATCGAAGAACAAGTACAAGGATCCCAATGATAGCAGACGGAGATTCCTTATTGAACTTGAATTTGTGCAGTGCTTGAGAATCCAACCTATATTCACTGTGACTTTTATTAGATTTAATTAATGGGCTTGTTGGAATTGTGGTTGGTTTGAGGCAAAGTTATGGTCTTTACTAATGTTAGTTTTAGTTCCTTTGTTATTATGAGAATTAATTCCTTTATTTTATAATTATAAAACTAAGATATAGTTCATTTATTGGATGACCTTGCCAAGTGGCAAGTGTAGCCATAAATATTTCAAATTACACCATAAAGCTGATCATTGTTGTTGAACTCAATGATGTGGTTCTTAGCACTCGTGCCTTTTAGACAGACTATTGTGAGTTGTGACGTATTGTTAACTTTTTTCCTTGAAGGTTGTCATCTTGGTCGCATTTCAAATATGTTCATGAATGTAAAATTACATTGTCTCATTGTTGTTTTCATTGGCATCTTGTGCATTGATTTTTTACTTCTTTAACAGATTTGGCTCAAAATAGATACTTTGAAGATGAGGCTTTTATTGGATACTTGAAATATCTTCAGTATTGACAACGACCAGAGTACATTAAATTTATAATGTGAGCTCATTTATACTGAATATAAATCTGTCATGATTGTATTGTCCAGCCCTATATATCAGAGTTTTAAATGTTTTGTTTTTTTTGGCCATACTCAAATGAACCTGATTACATTCTATTTTGTGATGTCTTTAGGTATCCGCATTATCTTTTCTTCCTTGAACTCCTTCAAAATGCAAACTTTCATAATGCTATGGGCCTATGGCACATACAGGAAACAAGGTTTTATCTTCTTTTTATATAGTGATTTGGTGGCTGTTACAATTCTTTCTAAGTGTGACTCAGCTACTAATTTTGATGAAATCTAGCTAATTAAATTCATTTGATCCAATTATATATTATTCTCCCGATCCAATCAACTCGAATCCAAAGGTCTTGTAAGCTGGTTACAAAATACAATTTACCATCAAGATTCACATTTCGAGAAGATTAATGGGTGCATGGGCATTCATCTTTTTCCTTTTGCACATGATGATATCTGTATGCAAATGAAATAGCTCTAACCCTAAATTGGCGGTGATGTTTTAGTCAAACTGAATGTCTAATGGATATTGCATAAATGGTCGAGATATTTTCGAGTCAGGTTGCATCTTTTACTTAGAGTAAAGTTTCTACTTTTTGCCTTGGTGTCATATTCTGAAGATCCTTAATGGGACAAGTTGATCGTTTAATATAAATTGATGGATCAATAACTTTGTAGCTAGACCTGTTAGTAGCATAGATAGACATGCAGTATGTATCTGCAAACTTGACACTTATTGGATTCCACAATGTTCTTCCACCTCTTGATAGAACTTTATATTTTTCTTTTAACACTAGTATAACTCTCAGAAAATCATTTTCAATGCTATGCTTATCATAGTTGATCAGTTATATTATCAAACACATTGTATTCTACTCCAGAAATAATATATGGCAAAGCTATTGGGAAAAAACTCAAAAAGAGAAATGACAATAATCATGTAAACTGTAAAGTTTTGTTGTCATCATATGATATTATTCGAGCGAAGATCTTCCCTAGAGTGACTTGAAATTTTTTGAAGTTATAATAAGTTCGAAGAATTGATAGTGTCTGTCTGATACTTCTAAACCAATTAGCTTTCTTCAAAAAATTATTATTCATCTTTCATACCCTTCTCTATACACAAGATATGGTTCACAACATGCAACTTTAAGTCCACAAACATGTACATAGATAACTGCTATTAGTTCCTGATTTAAAAGCATATGCAAATAAATGGAAACAAAAAATTCTAAACATAAAGTCACGTAAGGCATTAGAACAACAACAGTTAATTTTAAAAAAAACACTATTAATGGCAAAAGAAAAGAAATTTTTACTCATGGCAAAGGAAAAGAGCATTTTAGTCAAAAGAAGATTATCTTTCCATCCAAACTAACAGAAGCATGGATATGATAAAAAGTTGTAATTATAAGGGGGTTTAGTGATGTAGTGTAAAATTAGGGCAGGTTATTTCACTTCAATCGAGGTTTTCTGAAATTAAAACAACATCTGGAGGATATAAATCTTATATGGTCCTCACCAAATATTTCAGTGATTTAATCTTGATTAATCTGTGAATTCAACAGTGATTATAGGTGTGTAACTAATCTAGCATCTCTTTGATTCAATAAAGCCACTCAAATGAAAACCCCCAAATTGAATTCTCATTTTAGATATCAATTGCAGAAAAACATTGATAAAAACAAATTAACTTGTATATTAACTATCAAAGATAACAATAGATCTCGATAATCTTCGAGTTATAACAAATTAGATGTGAAATCAGAAACGCCTAAAAAACCCAAAGTCTTAAAAACTCACTCTATTTCTATTCAGAATCTTTTCTAATACTGGAGAACTGAAACGAAAGAGATCAGAGATCGGAAAAGGATGAGATTCTTACCTTAGATCAAAAAAAAGAGATCAAAATCGAGAGTGATTGCCTCCTTCAGAAGGAAACCCTAACCCTAGCTTTGGCCCGTATTGGAACTGGGGGTGCATTCGGTTCGGATACCTTTTTGAAAACGGATACATATACGGGTTCGGATATTCATCGGTAAGAAAAAGGCATTATCATATTCGCACTAAACAGAAATGGTTACGGTTCGGATATTAGAGAGTCGGATACGGATATGATACGGATATTAATTGGATATTTGGAAAACAGATATGAATATGATATGACAAATATATATATATATATATATAATATACTTGCAAGCAAAAAAAATCCAGAATATTGCTACACAGATTCAGATATGCACTCTCAACTCGTAAATAACTAAAAATTAATATACTAGCAAGCAAAAAAATCCAGAACATTGCTACACAGATTCAGATATGCACTCTATCGTGGTAAATAATTTTCAAAAATTGACATTACAAACTTACAGTTACACATCAATGTGCATTCTCTATTTATTTGTGAGTTTGTGGGTATTGGGAATGGGGGTGGAATTGGCACTTAGGTATCAGTTGAAATTTTTGAGCACTAATTTTAGTAGCTTGTAGTTCCCAATTCCGAAGCAAGGTTTAGCTTATAACTTACTACTTTAATTCAAGGTGCATGTGCTCTAGAACTTCACAAAATTTTAAGCTAAATCATTTGTCAAACAAACTAGGTCTTTTCAGTTTTCAGTCAATAAAGGATAGCAAATTAGGGCTTTCCACTCAACAAAGGGCTAGCAAATTAGGATTTTTTATCATACAGATTAGGGCTTTTCATTCAACCAATTAGAGTTTCGAATTCACCTTAGTGTTAGAAGAAACCGAGGAGGAGAATTTTCGGAGGTCGCTGTTGATGGTCGGTCGAGCTTGAAGGCGGAGGCTTGAAGTCGGTCGAAAGCAGAGCCTTGGAGACGTCTGACGGAGGTTGAAGGCGGAGGGCGGAGGCTTGAATGGAGACGGCTGAGGTCGAAGGCGGGAGGCTTTGAGATCGTCAGTTTAGGGCAGAAGAACAGCGAAGGATTTTGATCTCTGCTATCGGCAGAATTTTCATTTAATTTAAATCGGGTCGGGTAGAGGATAAGATTGGTTGTATATATGAAGACCCGACCCGACACTCTCAAGTAAAAATTAGCTGAGTTATACACATCCGGATATCCGGACTGTATCCGCAAAATCCACCCGAAAACCGTATCCGAATAAAAACCCAAAACTAAAACCGAACCGAAATCGTATCCGGATGGTTGCAATCTTTTCCTACCAAATTCGCTTTCTAAATAGATATAGTTGCGGTCGGTCCGGATATATCTGGATTGTTTTGCACCCCTGGATGGAGGCATTTACAGGGCAGAGGGATCGCCCTTGCAAGGATTGACACCACTTTTGATTTCTTCTTCTGAGTGGACCCCTGCACTTTCCTCACATTTACACTTTAAACCTTCTTCTACATTTTTTTAAAAGTTTTTTAACCCTATTTATTGGTTTTGATGTGGTGGGATGTTAGATAATGTAGAGATATTATTGGTTGGCGTAACGAACTGGAGTTGGACTTCTTAATTATTTGATTAGTAAGGGCCCCTTATTATTAGAAGAGCGAAACTAATACTAACGTTGCGTCAGTAATCAATATAATATAATATGGTGTTATTCGTTTCGAACTAGAACTTAAATTTATATTTAAGGTGTTATTGATTTAGAATTTGAATTTAATATGTTATCGGTTTAGGGTTAGATTTTATATTTGAATTTAATGTGTTATTGGTTTAGAACTAGAACTTATTTAAAATATTTTTAAATAGATATATTAAAAATTAAATTAATTTTTAAGTTTTTATACTAATATTTTTTATCTGTAATAATTATTTCAAAAATAGTTAATTATGAATTTCAAAAAAACTAAAAATTTATAGTATCTTGGAAATACACAAACCTACCAACATATCTACAGTATTATACCATAAAAAATTATCCTACCCATCACCAATTTTGTGAAAATTTTCCTCCAATGAAAAACTTATTTAAAAACCCAAAAAAATTATACTCATACACAAAATTGTAGTGAGCTTCTTCTTCTCAAAATTTATGGTTAAAAATTTCTCCTAAAATGAAAATTTCTTGTAAACATATTTGTAATAAAATTGTTTATCTATATTACAAAACTCATTCCTTTCTCACTATTACACAAAATTGTGGTAGAAAATTTTCATCAAATTTTTGGTTTCAAAATCTATATAAATAGTAATTTTTTTCAAAGCTGAGATCGATGAAAGTTGTTTCGGACTTAGTGCGCTTCTTCTTAAAGACTAGTTATGATTCTAACTCCTCTAGTATTATGAGCTCCTCACCAAAGATCTCCTCAAAACTTAGCTCTAACACACTCTCTTCTTTTTACTTTTCACTCGAAATTTTCTGAATATAGTTTACTTCTAGGAGTTGATCTGATGAATTAGTCGTCCAGTTTCTTAGATTGAAAATATTGAGATTAATAGTCATGTTCCCAGAGGACACCTCCATTTGACCATTTCTACAATTAATTAGAGTAATAGAAATAGGTAAGAATGGTCTTCCTAAACTAACAGGTATCTGATCTTTGGGATTAGAAACATATTGTATTTTCAAGACTATGAAATTCACTGAAAAATAAACTCACCAACCTTAATCAGAACATCCTCTGTCTCTTCTGTAAGGACTTAAATAAATTTATCAGCTAACTGTAAGGTGTACCTAGTTAGTTTAAGTTCTCCTGTAGCAAGTTGCTAATAGACCGAATAAGGAAGCAAATTAACACTAGCCCCTAAGTCTAAGTTCCTTATCGATGAAGGTATTTCTTATAGTACACAAGATAATAGGACAACGAGGATCCTTACGTTTCAAAGGTGTAGGCTTTCAAAGCATGTCATTATATGACAGCAAGAAAGGCTTTCTTCAGGAATATTTATTATTCTCTTCTTAGTGCACAAATTCTTTAAAAATTTTGTATAGAATGGGATTTCTTGGGTGGCATCTAAGAGAGGGATGTTGACATTGAGCTACTTGAAGATTTCTAAGAGCTTCTCTACCTAAGAGGGGGTTTTCCTAGGCTTGATTCTATCTGGGAATTGTGAGCAATTGGTTTAGATCTATTAAAATTGAGGTCAGGTTCGGAC